GCAGAGAGTTCCACTGCTGAACAGCTCTCACAGTCAGGAAGTTCCTCCTAATGTTCAGGTGGAATCTCCTTTTCTGTAGTTTGAAGCCATTGTTCAACGACCTAGTCTCCAGGACAGCAGAAAACAAGCCTCCTCCCTCCTCCCTATGACTTTCCCTCACATGGCCCTCATCATGTCTCCTCTCAGTCTTCTCTTCTTCAGGCTAAACATACTCAGTACTTTAAGCCGCTCCTCATAGGACGTGTTCTCCAGACCCTCCGTCAGACGACACTTGGAATCACACTGTGTCCAATTCTGGGCACCACAATTCAAGGGAGATGTTGACTTCAAGCTGGAATGTGTCCAGAGGAGGACAACCAAAATGATCAAGGGTCTGGAGAGCACACCCTATGAGGAGTGGTTCAAAGAGTTGGGCATGTTGAGCTTGCAGAAGAGAAGGCTGAGAGGAGACAGGATTTTTTTTTGTCGTGTCAGGAGCGACCTGAGAAACTGCAAGTTGCTTCTGGTGTGAGAGAATTGGCCGTCTGCAAGGACGTTGCTCAGGGGCGCCTGGATGATTTGATGTTTTATCATCCTTGTGGGGGGCTTCTCTCATGTCCCTGCATCAGGAGCTGGGGCTGATAGAGGGAGCTCATCCGCCTTTCCCCAGATTCAAACCTGCAACCTGTCAGTCTTCAGTCCTGCCGGCACAGGGGTTTAACCCACTGAGCCACCGGGGGCTCCTTGGAGACAGGATGAGGGCCATGGATCAATATGTGAGGGGAACCCATATGGAGGAGGAAGCAGACTTGGATGCAGAACAGTGGCTTCAAACTACAGGAAAGAAAGGTGATTCCACCTGAACAAGAGGAAGAACTTCCTAACCGTGAGAGCTGTTCAGCAGTGGAACTCTCTGCCCCGGAGTGTGGTGGAGGCTCCTTCCTTGGAGGCTTTTAAGCAGAGGCTGGATGGTTATCTATCGTAGGTGCTTTGAATGCGATTTTCCTGCTTCTTGGCAGAATGGGGTTGGGCTGGATGGCCCACGAGGTCTCTCCCAACTTTATGACTCTATGATTCCTCCATAAAAATATATTGAAACAGCGAGTCCACGTAAAGTGAACTGCGAAATAGCGAGGGAACACTGTATTTTTTAATTTGATAGATATCTTATTTCCTTCTTAACTGGGACATAAGGATGATTATTTGGGACATAAGAGTCAGGAACAGAATGGGGAAAACGTTTTATACAGTATGTGATCTGGACTCAGTCCCAGGTTTCCTTTGCTTGTCACAACTGCTCCTTGCCTTTTCAAGTTGTGTGACTGTTGTCAGCTGCCTCCATCGTGCAGAGAATAGGTTATGCTCTCTAATGGCATTATTTTACTAAAATGTATTAAATTACGGAGCTGTCTTCTCATTTACTGAAAGCCAGCCCAGGCAAAAATCCACCATAGACCTTCCAAAAAGAAGTCCAGGCTGTAGCAAGATACCAAGAAAAAGGGCAACCACCAAACTCACTTTGGAATGGTTCCTTGTTATGTCAGATAATGTTAGAGCCTGTATTCATACTTCCTTTTTTCTTGTGCTTTCGACACAGATACAGAGATTGACTGGAAGGCCTACATGGACGAAGTGGAGGGTGTTGTCAATGGGACTCTGGATTACACGCAATTAAAGGGAGACACAGGACCTCTTGTGTAAGTACCAGTGAATTCATGGGGATGGAAGAGTTTGGTTGGGGCCATCTAAAGCAGTTGGTTCAACCCCACACTGCTCACGCCCTCAATGAGGAACAGTTTAGTTAGTTTAGTATAGACTAAGGGTTTAGTTTAGTTTAGGGAAGGCTGAGCGAAGGAAGAGAAACCCTTTGGGACTGTGGTGTTGGAGGAAAGTTCTGAGAGTGCCTTGGACTGCGAGAAGATCCAACCAGTCCATCCTCCAGGAAATAAAGCCCGACTGCTCACTGGAGGGAAGGATACTAGAGACAAAGCTGAAGTACTTTGGCCACATCATGAGGAGACAGCAAAGCCTAGAGAAGACAATTATGCTGGGGAAAGTGGAAGGAAAAAGGAAGAGGGGCCGACCAAGGGGAAGGTGGATGGATGGCATCCTTGAAGTGACTGGACTGACCTTGAAGGAGCTGGGGGTGGTGACGGCCGACAGGGAGCTCTGGCGTGGACTGGTCCATGAGGTCACGAAGAGTCAGAAATGACTAAACGAATGAACAACAACAACAAGGATTTCCCGCTTTGAGTCCCCCTCGGTGAGAAAAGCGGTATAGAAATACTGTAAATAAATAATAATAATTCCCTCCTCCCATGTTTCCTGTATGGCAGTTGGCAATGTATTTAAATGTATCTCTCTCTGCTTCTCTCATTCTGATTGGTTGTGTAGAACAGATACTTTTCTACCTCAAGACTTTTAAAATCTGACTTCTGTTTCTTACATCTTTGTATGTGCTGTGTGCTTTGAGATCTCTCTCTGCATGTGTGTCAGGGAGATGTGATTGGAGTTTTTCCCCTCTCTTTGACACCTTGGGTGTTAGAGTAGCTCAGATCCTGTTATTTACCATTAAGAAATGCAGTTATTTCTTATTTTTGTAAATAAACCTTTTGTGATTTTTTTTAAGATTGGACTCTGCCAATTTGCCTGCCTAAGCTCTAAATTCTTTACAGCCACATCACACAGCACTTCACACTTTGCTTGCTGTGAGCCGTTGCTCAGCTTTAAGTATCCTTTTTGACTTTTGGATGCTCTGCTATATTTTTGGATAGTTTCCCCTAACAGTTATCAGCCTATGGTTCCCCAGATGTTTTGGCCTCCAACTCCCAGACATCCTAACAGCTGGTAAACTGACTGGAATTTCTGGAGGTTGTAGGCCAAAACACCTGAGAATCCACAGGTTGAGAACCACTGGTTTAAAGCTAAGGTTTGGGCAACTACTTTGTATCCAGTTCATTCTTTCTTCACGTCTCTTTCTGCAGGTACCCTGCTGGCTTTGTTTACATTTTCCTAGGTTTCTATTACATGACTGATCATGGCACCAACATCCGCCTGGCCCAGTACCTTTTTGCAGGGCTTTACCTCACTACACTGTTTCTGGTTTTCCGCATCTACAGCCGAACGAATAAGGTTAGTGGCTGCTGCAAAATATTACCGAAGTGCTAAAGAAAATTCCTTCTCTTGTTACAGATAGGAGACTCTATCACAATGCATTCATCCCTTGTGTGACTTGTATAACCTAGAAACTATAAAGCAAAGGGCTTTGAGGATAGAGGAAAGAGAGGGATGCTTGGGAATTGGCTTGCTAATAATAATTATTTATTTATACCCCGCCACCATCTCCCCAAGGGTACTTGGGGTGGCTTACATGAGGCCAAGCCCAACAACTTGAGACAATTGAGAGTTTGGTATGTTTTATATATATATTGAGTGTGTGTCACTCTTTGAACATTAATAACAGTAAAAGAAGAGCAAAAGCCCAGGTCTCTGTCCCAAGGAGAGGCCAATTTAATTTGATCCTGAAGATTTAGGTGTCATTAAAACATCTTTCTAATCCTCACTTGATTTGTGGTGGTTTCTATAACTACTGTTGTGGTATACATTTTCAGTTTCTTTCTTGTACTAGAAACATTTAAGACTTAGCATTTTGGGGATAGAGGGAAGGGAAAAGGGGATCTATGGTTGTACAGGAATATGTTTGGTATTTCTGTTAGAATTGTGTCAATTAAAAACAAGTTGCATTCTAGTATTTCAACAGACTGGCACAACTGCCAGCCTCCACCTATGAGAACTGCCTATCTTCCTTTCCACTTGAAGCAATGAATATTGGAAGTTGCGCACTTATGAAACAGAATGAGTTAATAGTGGAGCCATTTGGCATTTGGATGGCAGTCAGAGATGAGTGATTTATGCTTTGGCCTTTCCGTGGCAGGTTCCTCCCTATGTCTTCTTCTTCATGTGCTGCGCTTCCTATCGCATCCACTCCATTTTTGTCCTGCGCCTCTTCAATGATCCGGTGGCCATGGCAATCCTCTTTCTGGCTATCAACCTCTTCCTGGAGGATCACTGGTCCTGGGGCTGCTTCTGTTTCAGGTATTATCATCATCATAAGTAGTAGCAGCAGCAATTTGGTATGGAACTTGGGTCTACAGGAATGGAAAGTTATGCTGAGAATGTATTGTCGAAGGCTTTCATGGCTGGAATCACTGGGTTGTTGTAGGTTTTTTCAGGCTATATGGCCATGTTCTAGAGGCATTTTCTCCTGACGTTTCACCTGCATCTATGGCAAGCATCCTCAGAGGTAGTGAGGCTTGCTATAGATGCAGGCGAAACGTCAGGAGAGAATGCCTCTAGAACATGGCCATATAGCCCGAAAAAACCTACAACAACCCTATGCTGAGAAGATTTCATATTTCACAAGAAGTAGGCATAACATAGGTATGTAAGGGAGTCAGTTGAGTGACTATTGGGCATGGGGATATCCGCCCATCAGGACACTAGTGAGGCATTGGCATTGTGCATCAGTACAGCCTGATGTACACTAGGACTTCCTTGACAGTGCTCTGATACGGAGGATTGCGGGTTGTCCGTCCCATCTTAAACCTTCTGGCTGTGAACCTGTACTTAGTTAACTCAGCACTCTCACTTCATGTCACCTATAATTTTCTAGCCATCAGTTAAATACTTCTGCTTCTTATCTCCTTGTTCCTTTTGTTAACCTCAAACTCAGAAATAATAATAATATTTATTTATTTATTTTCTGCCCTATCTACCCAGAGGGGCTGAGGGCAATTTGAATGCAATATTCCTGCTTCTTGGCAGAATGGGGTTGGACTGGATGGCCCATGAGGTCTCTTCCAACTCTTTGATTCTATGATTCTAGGGCAGATTCCAAACAAAAATGTAAACATTCAGTGCCTGAACATAATGACAATACAGTGTTCCTTCACTACTTCATGGTTCGCTTTACGTGGACTTGCTGTTTCACGGATTTTTTAATAAATATTAATATAAAATATTTACATTATAACAGGCCTCAGAAAGGGAGGCTGGTGTGCATCCTGTTGCTTTTTTTGCTCATTCCGTCAATGGCTCGATGTGCTTTGTCCTTCTCCTTGTTCCAGGCACCGGAGGCCCCAATGCCTCCCCAACAACATCCAGGCCTACTTACTACTTCGCGGTTCGCTTTACACAGATTCGCTTTTTTGCGGATTTTTTAATTAAATATTAATATAAAATATTTACATTACAACGGGCTTCAAAAAGGGAGGATGGTGTGCATTCTGTTGCTTTTTTTGCTCATTCCATCGATGGCTCGGGCTGCGAGCAGATGTACTTTGCCCTTCTCCTCGTTCCGGGCAGGAATGCTGCCCGCCGGAGGCCCCAATGCCTCCCCAACAACATCCAGACCTGCCTCCCTGTCTTTCACAGACCCCGGCAGAGCAGCGGCCTGAGGTGCGATGGGGCTCCAGGGACGGATAAGGAAGCGCGAGGGCTGGACTGCACATGCACACTTCTTATACGAGGGGTATTTTTAAAGTAAGGTCCATTGGAACATAAGTACACAACGAAAGTTTATTTCAAAAAAGTAAATTTATTTTCAGAAAGTACACTTCACTCTATTTTTCGACATAGTTGCCAAGTTTGTTCAAACACTTATCATACCTCTGAACCAATTTTAAAATACCCTCTTCATAAAAACTTGCCGCCTGCGCCGATAACCAAATCGTCTGTAATCAAAGAAGGGCGACCGGAGCGGTCCTCATCATGAACGTTGTCACGGCCATCTTTGAATTGTCGTACCCATTTACGCACTTTGCTTTCACTCATAACAGTATCACCGTACACTTCACAAATCTGTCGATGAATTTCTGCAGCAGGCAGGTTCCTTGCTGACAAAAGCCGTATCACTGAGCGAACCTCACATGCGGCATTTTTTTAAAATTTTATTTTTTTTAAATAAAAAAATGCAACCCATTATATAAGACATGAAACAAAACATCAAATAGAAACGTCAACAGAAAAAAATATCCCCCTTGATTTCCAGTTCTCAACTTTTCTGTGTCACACTTAACAAAACACTCCATTGTTATCCTCCCTCCAAACCATTCTAGCTGGAGCTCCTTCCAAGGACTGGCAGATCATGAGTGATAGGCAGATGTAGAGCAATGCACAGGTATAGGATTTCTATCAATTTGTGCTGTTGAGGCTTCACAGTGTTAGAAATCTTCACCAGTGTTGAAAGTCAATAGTAACAGACAAAGTGTTTGGGAATGGATGGCTATCTGTTGGGGGTGCTTTGATTGTTTATCACTGCATGGCAGGAGGTTGGGCTGGATGGCCTTTGTGGTCTCGTCCAGCTCTATGATTTTACCGTTCTAAGGCACCAGAGTAAGGACTGTGTTAATTTCAAGCACCAATGAACATCTGTTGTCTCCTCCTCCCACAGCTTGGCTGTGTCTGTGAAAATGAATATTCTGCTCTTTGCGCCAGGTCTCCTTTACCTCCTCCTGTGGCGCTTTGGCCTGCTTCGTGCCATTCCCAAGCTTGCCATCTGTGCTGTCTTACAGGTAAGAAAGGCAAGGGAGCTGCCCGGGTTACAAGGCCTGTTTTGCCTTAAGATAGGCCAGACTTCAATCCCTGACATTTATTTATTTATTAGCATCATTTTTATCCCGCCCATTTCAACCCAAAGGCGACTCAGAGCGGCATACAGACCAGCAACAATTAGATGCCATCCATACACACACACACACACACATACATACATACATACATACACATATATCAGTCAAAGCAATTAAATCTATATAAATAAAAATGTAATGTTCATTTGTGGGATTAACAGAACTCAAAAACCACTGGATGAATTGACACCAAATTTGGACACAAGACACCTAACAACCCAATGTATGTTCTTCACTCCAAAAAATGATTTTGTCATTTGGGAGTTGTAGTTGCTGGGATTTATAGTTCACCTACAATCCAAGAGCATTCTGAACCCCACCAACGATGGAATTGAACCAAACTTGGCACACAGTTCTCCCATGAATCATAGAATGACCAACAGAAAACACTGGAAGGGTTTGGTGGGCAGTGTCCTTTGATATTAGAGTTGTAGTTCACCTACATCCAGAGATCACTGTGGACTCAAACAATGATGGATCTGGACCAAACTCTACACGAATACTCAATATGCCCAAATGTGAACACTGGTGGAGTTTGGGGAAAATAGAATCTTGACATTTGGGAGTTGTAGTTGCTGGGATTTACAGTTCACCTACAATCACAGAACATTCTGAACCCCACCAACGATAGAATTGGGCCATACCTCCCACACAGAACCCCCACGTGGGCCACAGCAACGCATGGCAGGGGACGGCTAGTCACATCATAAATACATATAAAAACCATAAAAGCTATAAAAACTATTTAAAAAATTATAAAAAACAATGTCTTCCAGTCCAATTCCTTGTTCATTTACATCGTCTTAGCCATTCCGTGTTCGTTTGTGTCTATCTGGTCATGCTGAATCTCCAAATGGTTGCTCGAAGAGCCAGGTTTTCACTCTTTTCCGAAAGGTCAGGAGGGAGGGGGCCAATCTAATATCCTTGGGAAAGGATTTCCAGAGCTGTGGGGCCACCACTGAGAAGGCCCTGTGTCTCATCCCCACCAGACACGCCTGTGAGGCAGGTGGGATCAAGAGCAGGGCCTCCCCAGATGATCTTAAATTCCTAAAAGTTTCATAGGGAGAGATGCGTTCGGATAGATAAGCTGGGCTGGAACTGTCATCTCCAGCTAAAAGATTTGCAAGAAGTCTTTAAGGGAAAGAAATAAAAGCCTAATTGCTGGTGAGACAGGAAGTGTCTGGGTTACCATGTAGTTTGCTCTTCTCCACACTCGCATGTGAGTGGATTCCACTTTGTAGCCCCATTTCTTAAGGTTGGCTCTGCATCTCGTGGTGCCAGAGCGCAGTCTGTTCAGTGCCTTCCAAGTCGCCCAGTATTCTGTGTGCCCAGGGGGGAGTCTCTTATTTGGTATCAGCCATTGGTTGAGGTTCTGGGTTTGAGCTTGCCGCTTTTGGACTCTTGCTTGCTGGGGTACTCCAGCGAGTGTCTCTGTAGATCTTAGAAAACTATTTCTTGATTTAAGTAGTTGACGTGCTGGCTGATACCCAAACAGGGGTTGCTACGTCATAACTGCTACTGTTATGAAATGTAATGCAAATATCTGATATGCAGGATGTATTTTCATTGTTATAAATCGTGACCCCCGGAAAATGGCCCAGCAACCCCCAGGTTGAGAACTGCTTGTGTAGATAAATGCCCAGTCTCAATTCTGTCTAGCTGTGCTGTTCGTTCTATGATTTTCCCTGTATAACTCTTGTACTTTCAACACTTGGGATGTTGGACAGTAATTACCACGTCATCCTAGATGAGAATATTTAAATGTTTGGGTCTCTCTTGCAGGTGGTTTTGGGGTTGCCCTTCTTGGTGGTGAACCCCGCCGGGTACTTGACCCGCTCCTTTGACCTGGGCCGCCAGTTTCTCTTCAAGTGGACGGTAAATTGGAGATTCTTGCCAGAAGAGGTTTTCCAACACCGGGCCTTCCACCTGGCCCTGCTGGTTGCCCACCTGGCTGCCCTCGGGCTCTTTGCACTCAACAGGTGGCACAGGTGAGGGCGGTGGCATGGTCGTCATGCTCAAGCTGCTGAATTATGCCCATGGACACTACAGATGCTGTGGCTTCCAGTTTGCAGAGGGAGAAGTTATGTCTAAATATGGAATTACCATCTGCAGTGTCCAGTGTGAGAAAAGAGATACGAATGCCTCTTTGGTGCATGTGACCCCCCACCTAAATTTGTCACTTACTTTCGCCTGTTAATTATTTCTTTAACTGATTCTGTATTTCAATTTTTAGAATTTGCCTTTGGGATTTGTGAGATCAAGATTAAGGCTTGCTTTCTAGTGTTCTCCATTCATAAAGTACCATCCATCTTTGCTTCTTCTTATCCTGGGGTTGGTTCGGGTAGGAACTGTTTTGTGTTTTCGAAGGCTTTCATGGCTGGAATAACTGGTTGCTGTGGGTTTTCTGGGCTGTATGGCCATTTTCCAGTAGCATTCTCTCCTGATGTTTTTGCCCACATCTATGGCAGCCATCCTCATAGGTTGTGAAGTTTGTTGGAAGCTAGGCAAGTGGGGTTTATATATCTGTGGAATGTCCAGGGTGGGAGAAAGAACTCTTATCTGTTGGAGGCAAGTGTGAATGTTGCAATTGGCCACCTTGATTAGCACTGAATGGCCTTGCAGCTTCAAAGCCTGTCTGCTTCCTGCCTGGGGAATCCTTTGTTGGGAGATGTTAACTGGCTCTGATTGTTTCCTGTCTGGAATCCCCCTGCTTTTTGAATGTTGCTCTTTATTTACTCCCCAGATTTAGCCAGATTTTGTTCATTTGCATGGTTTCCTCCTTTGTTAAAATTGCCCACCTGCTTGTGGATTTCAATGGCTTCTCAGAGGTTGTGAGGTCTGTTGGAAACTAGGCAAGTGAAGTTTATATTTGTGGAATGTCCAGGGTGGGAGAAAGAACTCTTGCCTGTTTGAGGCAATTGTGAATGTTGCAATTGGGCCAGCTTGATTAGCATTGAATGGGCTTGCAGCTTCAAAGCCTGGCTGCTTCCTGTCTGGGAGAATCCTTTGTTGGGAGTAAATAAAGAACAACACTAAAAAAAACCAGGGGAATTCCAGACAAGAAACAAGCAGGCCAGCTAATCATCACCTAACAAAAGATTCCCCCAGGCAGGAAGCAGCCAAACTTTGAAGCTGCAAGGC